CCAATGACAAACCTCGACAGTGGCAATGACGATGTCAATGCTAACAATGATGGAGCAAACGAAGACATATAATTGATCACTTAACTAATTGCTCAGCTATGATGAAATCACAATTCAAAAGTAAACACTTCGATGACAGAATCAACTAGTTACTTTGCTAGCCATGGCAATAACGAAAAAACATAGTAGAACTATTGGGCATCACTCTTCAATTCCACGGCAATATCAACCAATTACTTCGGCAACAAACAAATCTTCAACGGTCAACCATTAATGCTTTATCAAATTTGATTTGGGATCCAAAGAACTTCTTTAGACTAGTTGCATTCTAGTTTCAAAGGAAGAAGAATATTATGGCCTCAGAATGATGTTCTAATATCATATTATTAAATGAAAATAAGGGTTAGAAGGGATGGGGAGAAAGATGAGAGAATCATGTTTGAGAGATTAAGCAAAAGACTACCTTCCGTGCGTACTATTGTATCTAGAAAGTTGTATTCTTAATATATAAAAGCACGACGATTATGATTGATCCAATTGTCATCTCTTTGTCCAGTGATACAAAATTCATTCGAAAAATTTTTCTCCATTAAAAAACATCATTTATCTGCATGGCCCCCAAATCAAACAACCCATCTAACTCACTCCCTAATGGAAGATAACTTCACTAACCCACATGTAGTCGTTTTTCTCTCTCCCCTACATCTTATTTTCTCGCATTTCACTTATTTAAATTGCATAACTATAGAAAAGAAAAGGAAAAATAAATTGATATGTAAAATACAAATGTTGTGCGATCAATGTTGAATTTTTGGTATTGTAGGGTGTCTTTAGGCACAATGTTATTGCTATTATGTGTGTATATGCAATATTGAGTAAGGCAATATTTGAAATATTAATTTAGTTTCCTTTCTTTTTTCTCTAAATAAACAATTTGAAATTAATTTGGGCCAACTATTTTTTTAGAGTTTCTTCTAAAAAAATGACTAGTAGAAAATATTAGTTTGTGAATATGATTCATTAAAAGGCTAGTACTTGGTACATGTCATCTATTAAAGTAAAACATGGCGCAAACCAATTACCAAGTTGACCATCACAATTATTTACCAACTATCGCAACAACATAATGTTAATAGCTGTATGCTCAATTTCAACTATAGCCATATAGAAACTTAAACATCCCCAATTGAAACAATAACAAACATGTAAATATACATATTTGCATATAGCAAACTATCGAAGACACACAACGTAAAATGCTTTAATGGATCAATCACTTTGAATTGCTTAAATACATTTGCACATTCCAACAAATGTATGCCTATTTGGTATTTATCAATTTTTATGTTTTTGTATGCAACTTTTCAAGAGGGAAAAAATGGTTGCTCTTTGCTTATGAAATGAAAGCCTGATCTCATGGTTCAAAGTCGCGGTGTCGGCTATCGACTCAGAGAGTTTTGAGACACATCAATTTGTGGTGTTGCGGCGTGGTATCGGGCGATATGACCTAAAAAAATATGTTGTCCATGACGAGAAATTCAGGTCATACTATGGTGCTACTGAACCATATCGGCCGATTCAATGATGACAACTCGACAACTTGAGAATTGACTCGGATACAATTTTGACGAATTGATCGAGTCATGCGAGACTCGGTGTTTATACGTATCGTGTAACGGTATTGTCTCGAAAGGTACCAAGTCGTACCCGACTCGGTCAATTTTTATCGGTATCGGCCAATACTTTGAACTATGCCTGATGTAGAAGAAAATATCTATATGAGAACACAAATAGAAAATTACCAAAACTAATAGCAATGCTTCAATTGGTCGATCACACGTATAGCGACAAATAGATTAATATTGGGCTTGATCGAATACAGACTTTATGGACTACATATTCCAAGAAAGCGTGCAAAATATTTTTTTTCCTTGGTCATGGTGCAAACTTGGATTATTTTTAGGATTGCTCCTCTCATAATAGTTATAGACCCAAAGCAAAAGAAAAGCCAACTTCGTAGTGTTGAAGTTAAAATTTGATTACCTATTTGCAGTTTGTCAGTGTGAAATGCAATAGAGCAGGGCTGCAATCATAAAATAGGACGAACAAAAGGAATGATCAAACAGCTGTAGAGCAACAATCACCGTAACTATACAAAAGCAAAACTTCCGATGGAACAAAACAACAAACCCCACAACACGACAAACTTTGATTGTTAGTGAAAGAGCAAGGAATCACCATAAAACATGGAGTCTTACTGGTTGAGGCCTATTCTTTCAACATCTATGCATAATTTAGCATTGAAGGTAGTTAATTAGCTTCTATAGAGCATAGTTGTCAAATCGCGATTTGTATCGTGAATCAGAATCTTAAATTTGAGAATCGTGAATCGTATCGAATCGTGAATTGTAAGATTTGATACAAAATTTGAACAAAAATAAAAAATAATGCTACATATTTAAAATAGACAAAATATTGAATATTGAACATTGTTGAATTCTAAAAATAATCAATTGATATAATCACATCGTCTAATGGAAAGACGTTAGCCCTTTACTTCATTTCTATCTTTTGTTTAACCATTTTCAAATCAACAACTTGAAAAAAAAATTGATTAAAGAACTATAGCTATTCAAGAACCAAAATAGTGACATTCAGTATAGATTAAGTTACAAATTTGAATGAAAAAAGAACAAATAAGAAAATTGATTGGGAGAAAACATACAGACCAACATTTTGAAACAACAAATTTGAACCTAACAAACTAACCTTGAAGGAATTGAGAGCAAAAATCAATCGATAATATGAGAGCGTTAGCGGTGACCTTTAGCTTTAGACAACATAAGACGAGTTTTAGACGATGTCAGAGAAAGAACGAGTAAAGAGGCTGAGTTTTTAGTAGGGCGTGGGTTCTTATGCAAGAAAACGACGACTTTTTGTTGTTTAGCAGACAAAACGATGTCGTTTTGCAAAAAAATTGGGTTTCAAAAAAAAAGTAATTGAATCGTGCAATTTGTGACATACGAATCAAATCGAACGATTCAGGTGTGATTCAAATCTAAAACGATTCTCGTATAAGATACGAATCATTTTGTACCTGTATCGAACCGAATTGTACGAATTGAATTGTGAATTGTACGATTTTGATAACTATGGTATAGAGTAGCAAAATATAAATCCATATGCTGCCAAATAAGAATTGCCAACCTGATAAAGCAAATGTGAGAAACCCACTTGGCCTAATTGTCCAAAAGCGTACTAATGTTACCTCAAGATCCATAAATATGCAGAATAGCAAAAAATCAAATTTATCTTTGAATTAGTACTCTAGTGCAAAAATGCCATCTTGAAGCATTCATTGCAGAATTTGGCTGAATCTAAAAAAGAAAGCTTGATTTTGTTGATTTCATCATTATCAACTGGACTAGGAAGATTGAGAAGTCAAAAAAATAATGTCAGTTTCAACTAAATATACATACAATCGTGTAGGCCAAGACAGTAATCAACTACCATCATATTGTTTTTTTCATGCTTGCATTCTGATTCTAAGTTTGTTTCAAATCATGACATGCTCTGTCCAAAAAACTTTGCAATGTATCCACTTTGTCTCACTGGGACACACAATTACTATGATCTATGGGTTTTCAATGAATCCCACAAACCAAAGGATTCATTGGCATTTCACAAGAAAACAAATGTGCCAAAAATGTGTGATACCTGCTTTCACTTTATTAACTAAAAAACAAGATGACAATTCAAACTATGGATCAACACTAGTGTTGACCTGGGCGATGCACAATTATCTAAAAAAAAAAATATCATTTGATTCGATGAGATTAAACTTTCTAATATGAAGTACTTAGTAATTAAAATAATTATGTTGGCATTATTGTGCAACTTCCAGCCAAAAAATATTTATGAAAGACTCAATTTCAAAAGTCACCTTACAAAAAAATGGCCACAATCCATCGTTAAAACCGCAACCCCACAATCCTCCAACACAATTCATCTTTAGTTCTTTTAGTAGAAAAACATCACATTCTAACACGTGTCACCATACAAGCCAATGACGACAAAAAATTATGGGTTATCAAAAGATTTGGCAGTCACCAATACGCATTATAGACGAAGCTATAAATTAACTCATTTCAAATAATTAAAAAATTAAGCAAAATAGTTCCTCAAATCATTAACATTTGAACTCAATTCATGTGCAATGGCTATTTTGCTCCGAATTGGAAACCAAATCTATATTTGACAAATTGGGCAATAAAAAGCGTAGCAATGCCAGAAACTGACTAGGATCACTATCATTAAAAACCTAGCATGTCAATATGAAAAGAAAAAAAAAACCATAGACGGGAAAATTGAAAATCCATAAAATCTAGGAAACACTATTTAGAATTGCACAAACAATGTATGACCACAACACCATAAAATGTCAACTAACAAAATTGGCAGAAAAGGATCACTTACAGTCTGCTAAAATTGTGTATTTTCGTTGAAGTAAACCATCTAACACTTGGGCATCATGGGTGTCTAATGGAGGGGTTTGGTGGTTTGTGTTGATTGGATGAAAGGATTGGGTGTTTGTGTGTCTAATGTGGAGGGGTTGTGTGCATTCCATTTTATGAACTACCCTTGAGGAAGCCCTTTCAGTGACGTACGGACAAGATGGGCAAGCGATTCTCCTCCAATTGCATTGATCAGTTGGATGAGAGGGCAAGTGTGTGTGTGTGTGTAATCTGTGTGAAATATAAATGAAATGCAAAGTGTGTAGGTGGTGGTGGTGGAGGAAGGGGGCGTAGTGCAAGGAAAGGGAGATGTATGTGTGGAAAAACCGCAACGTTTTGTGAGGGAGTTCTGCACAGAGAGGATGACTGGGGGAAGGGGATGGGGGGATCTTTGTGTGTGTTAGCAAAGATGTATCAAAGAGAAGGGAGATGGGGAGGGAGAGAAATACTTGAAAGGATGGCGATGATGGCACTATGGCGAAGTGGATGATGGTGCTAGTCGCTAGCGTTGTTGACGATGGCGGCCAGGGGGGAGATAGAGAGATGGGGGTAGAGACATAAGACAAGAATGAGCGAGAGTGAGACTCTGATTAACTGGATAGGGGAGGTGTGTAGCCTTGCAGGTTTGATTGATGGATGAGGGGGGAGCAGAGAAAATAAGTAATGGGCTAGAATAAAATTTTGGGTGAGTGATCTTGTACTACTTGTAATATTAGATTTCAACTTAATTGATAGGTTTGATATACACACACACACACATATAGATATATACATATACATATATATGTAATAAGACTAAAAAGACCTGTGTATCTCTTTGGGGCACACTACTTGTTACAAATTCTAGCATTTAGAACTCACTGGCAGATAAACTTATTGGTCAAACCTTAATTTTCTTGATGAAGATATCAACATGTTGGCGTCACTTATGATAAATCGATTTTGGTTATAGTTTGACGACTAGTAATGTTTTTGACTATCACAGTATTTATTGTGTTGAAGGTTCATGTATGTTGTTTAAACGTTGATAAAACATCTAATACTTAGATATGAACTGCTAAAGAGAAAATCACTTTATAAAAAATTGGAATGCCATCAGAATCCTTAGAAACGGATGCCCATAACGATGCCAAAAAAGGGATCCGATCCCATAAACCTTGCTTCCACTCACCTCTATCATCAAATATTCTAGAATTTATTTCCAAGCAAATCTCCCATATTATGGCTAAATTGTACAATGTCAAATGGTCACCCTTTCTCATGCTTTCCAAATTCCTCTAATTCCATTGGTAGCATGGAAGTAAAAGTCTTGGGAATCACCCAACTTAAAGCTTCTAACTAAAATAGCTTGGCCACAACAACAAAGCAATAGGGCAATGCAAAAAAAAAGGTGATCAATACTCTCACTAGCACATGCACACATCACACACCACTCCGGAGAAATGTAAAGAAATTGTCTTCTTTTCTGAAGCACATCGTTAGTATTAATACTACCATGAGCTATAATTAATGCACAAACTTACACTTTAATGAGCATTTTAGCCCTCCAAATCATCACTAAGGGAGGCACTTTAGCCCTCCAAATGCACTTTAATTTTAGTTTTTGTTATGTTATGGAATTAATGTACAACAAGAATTGTTGTCGAATATAAAACTTATTACGTAGTATAAGTTGGCAAGCCATATTTTTACAAGCGTTAGAATTTGATGTTATGCAGTAAGATACCCATAAAAAATATTGAAAATGAATTACAAGAATTTTTCGCCACAGTTATGAAATGAAATGGATGTCGAAAATAGAGTTTAACTAAAAAAAATGAGATGAAAAGATGGATGGCTCTATTTATCATTGTTTAAGAATGTTGTTTGGTGATATAATTACTTTTATGACTGTTATTTTTCAGCATCAGTCAATCACTTGCTTTTGGCCCCTGAGCACCATATGCTACTTATGTGACAATATTGAATCCATGTTCCTTATTTACTATTCTGAAGATACTAATGGTATCTTTACAGATGTCAATATTAAGAGCTAATAGCCAAAATTTTAATTTTTCCCTTCCCCCTTCTCTTTTTTGTTGTTCCCTATCATCAATATCATGCTTCTATCATTATCTTAACATTTTCTGAACTTCTGCTTTGTTTTTGTTAGGGTTCTTTTTTTAAGGTAAATAATTTTTTGCTGTGGTTATGTACTTCCTTTGATATCATGCCTCCACTCATATAGGTTGACAGCTTGCCTGGTGCTCGTGGTGGTGCCTTTGAGCATGGGGCGACTAGAAGAATGCGGAATGAGTTTATGGCAGCCTGGGATGGATTGAGGTCAAAAGACAGCCAGAGAATCCTTATCCTAGGTGCCACAAATCGGCCATTTGACCTTGATGATGTTGTCATTCGCCGCTTACCAAGAAGGTAAGATTGTGACTAATGGATTCTCTGTTGAAGTTTTGACTAGAATCTTAATAGACAGAAGCCCACGATGGGTGTTTTAGTTCCTGTTCTCCAATGCTCTGCATGTGAGCCATGCTTGTTTTGGCTGCATGCTTTATGGTTTACAGTTGCAAAACTCTTTGTTTCAAGAATGCACTGACAAAAATTGGACAAATAAACTAGATTATATATGCTAATGAAGGATATTGGTTGTTATATAGGATTTATGTAGACCTTCCGGATGCTGAAAATCGTTTGAAGATACTAAAAATAATTCTTGCTGAAGAAAATCTACAATCTGGATTTCAGTTTGAACATCTTTCAAATGAGACTGAAGGGTATTCAGGGAGTGATTTGAAGGTAATTTACTGCTTTTTACTGGTTGTCTGCTTATCGTTGTCTTCTATTTCTTATGGTCATGTCTTTTGCAGAACCTTTGTATCGCCGCAGCATATAGACCTGTCCAAGAACTTCTAGAGATAAAAATGGAGGTAAGTGCATCTGGCCTTAAATTTTACTATCTATCATCTAATAATATTATTCAGATTCTCCCCACTTTGTATGGGATGAGGATTGCCTTGGAAAACAGTGTTTACTGGGCAGGTCATACATGTGTCATCAGTTGTTTTTACTCTATTTATGTTTGCTCATTTTCACCAATTGGTGAGTTTATCACGGTTCCTCTTTCTCTAAACTTGAACCGCTCCTTTTTCTTAATAGTCCATTTCCCAAATTCAGGAATGCCAGAGGGTTTCCGAATTATCAGACTATGATAGGATAGAATGCCGCGATACCTTAGTCATTGATTCTTGAGAAAGTGGCTGGCTCATTTACTTGTCTAAGAAGAAGTGTCATCATTGGGAATTTGGTGGTGTGTTATGTCTTTTTCTGGAGACCTGGTGTATGACTTGAGTCAGGTGAATTACTATAAAAGCAATTTCAAATGGGAAATGTTTATTTTTTGAGTAAAATATGAGTAAAGCTGCACAATAGTATGTGCTTTAGTTTTGATTCTACTAGGGATCTGTTATAGGGAGCATGTTAAATTGATTGTATATGCTAGATTTTATTCCTGAGGGTTCCTTTTTCTAAAAACATTTATGGTAGCAGCGACATTGACTTGTGCTGAAGCCTACTATCAAGCCGCCCCTCCTCTCTTTAGCTTCTGGTCTATAGCCAAGCCAATTGCAGAAACTATGGTTCAAAGTCGCGGCATCGGCCATGAACTCGGAGGGTACTGATACACATCGGTCGCGGCGTCGCGGCGCGGTATCGGCCGATACGCTCAAAACGTAAGATAGAAGCTCCAAAAAAATTCTAAAAAAATAGCCATGATCATTTATGCATCATATATCCACAATACATCTAAAAATACATTAAACATAATTAAAATGAAACATAAAATCGCGAGCGAAAATAATTATCATTATCAATGTTCAATGTAGACATTTAGGAACATATTGAGCCGTAATCATTGCCACATTGAACGACGATGAAGCTCAAAATCGTCGTTATTGTCTCTAGGATATCACAAATTAGGGTACTGTCCACCATAAGAATTAGAGTACAAGTGTGAATACATGTCTGATTGGGTTGATTGACTAGATGACCCATAATCAGAGTAGTGTGACTGTGGAGGTTGTACTGGCTAGTTCCCATACTGATAGTATCCAAAACCATGATATTCACGGCCACTACTAGCAAAAGACTGATCATATCCATAAAAGTTGACACTATCCGATGTCATGTTAGAAGATCCATCATGATGTCTCCTTGGAACACGATCATGGTAACCACCAGTACTAATACTAGTAGATCTCTCAAGATGCGTAGGGCGATGGCCATAATGCCCAACACTATTAGTACTAGTAGACCTCGGAAGCTGCGAAGGGATACCATATCTATATGATCCATGTGCATAGCTAGATTCTATACCACTACTTTGATGATGTCCATAAGACATGTATCCTTCATATGATGTCAATCCCAAATTCTGCATATGATCATCAATATCTTGTCGACCAAGTGAATGATGGTAACATCTATGAGAATAATCATCACCAATGGAAGAGTTTAAATTCCTCCGTTGTTTGATTGCCCTTGGTCTATATCCATGGTCTGTATCCTGTGTGGCATAGTAATTGTCTTACCCCTGTGCCCATGACATACCGCCAGGTAGCTGAGTATCACTGCCATCTCCAGTAGTCCCTCCACCACCATTCTTGTTGCTCTCATCATTATCTCCACCATGATTACTAGCATCATCATCATCGGTACTACTACTATCACCATCACCACCACCACCACCATAAGTATCAGCAACATTATTATCATTATCGTCATCAGAAGAAGAATCACTAGAATTGACAAAAATTCTCATAGCCTTTTTACCCTTATTGGTTGGCCTCGTATCTTTTCCAGATCTTCTGGTAGTGGCATAATTGCTAGATGTTGGTGCCGTATTAGTTTTACCTTCATCAACTACATCTCGTCCACTTCCACCTTCTTCAATGTCACGAATACCTTCATCCAGCCAACCTAAGTTATCAGGTGGTAAAATTGATTCCTCCCATTCTCTTATCCACTCGTCTAATATATCCTCATCATTAAAAATATAGTTCAGATCAATTGGATTATAAAAATCATCAGTTTCACGCTGATATGTCAAATTTTTAACTCGCAATCGCATATTGTAGTGCACAAAAACTAGCTTATGTAGCTTTTTTATTGCCAATCGGTTGCGAAGTTTTGTATGGATCAGCGACCATGTACTCCAATTTTTTTCACACCCCAATGATGAACATGTTTGGCTTAAAACTTTGACTGCAATTTTTTGCAGATGGGGAGCTTCTTCACCATAATTGATCCACCATTCAGCTACAAAAAAAAAACTGTACAATATTAGTATTGTCCATAAGAGTAACAAATGATACTTCACTAAATACATATAGTTTAAATAATAAACCTGGAAGGGAGGCATGTACAACTTTTCTAGTGAGTGCATTCCCAAACTCGTCATGTTTGTCTGTATATAATTTGATCTGCAATTTATTGTGTAATGTATTATGTAAGCGACAAATATATACATATATTATAATAAAAAATTATCAAAAATCGTCATACCTCATTCATTGCCCTTGCTTGTTTATTCAAATCTGGTTCCAATCTTTTAATAACCTCTTTCAAACCAGATCTTACCTCAGGATGGTTGAAAAATTGATTAGAATACTGAAAAATTGGATTTAAGAAATAAGCTGCAAAATTTTTGACAATTTAATGTAAGTTAGTGAAAAACTATAATATTTTACAAGCTAATACACAATGAAAAATTTATATTTTTAAATAATTTTACCTACTGCATGTAAGTGTCTGTGCAATTGGATCTCCCATCTTTTGTCAATCACAACCCAGTATTTCTTCCAATTATTGACTGAATGTTGTATGGCTAGTTTAGCCCTGTCCATTGCCTCATAGATAATTGATAAAGTTGATTTTTTGTTTTGATCAACTATTTTTAAGACCCTAAAAAGAGGCTCTATGACAGATTGAACTTCTCTAGCCTTCTTCCAAAATTGGTCAGTCAAAATAAGATTTGAGACTATATCTCTTGTTTTTCTCCTCTTCTTGTCTTTGTTGAACTCACGCCATTCATCGGTGGTGCACATTCTTTTCAAGTTCGATTCATAACGAATAAGACTTTCAATGGCGATAAATTCAGTGGCAAATCGTGTTATACCTGGCCTCAATAAATCTCTATCTCGGGTATGTTGCTTCATTAAGTTGACCACTTTGAGACTGTTGTAGATAAAAGATGTGATCGTCTTAGCATCATCTATGGTCTCCTTGATTGCTTTCATATGACCAATATCTTCCAGCATCAAATCAATACAATGAGCTGCACAAGGAGACCAAAATAAATGTTTTCTTTTATCCATCAACATCTTACCAGCTGCTTTAAAGCTTGCCTCATTGTCGGTTACTACATGTACTACATTTTCTTCTCCAATTTCATCAACAACTTTATCCATAAGAGAGAAAATATAGTCAGCAGTTTTTGAAATATTTGTGGTATCAATTGATGTATGGTAAATCATATTACGGTCACAATAAATCATGAAATTGATAATGGATTTCTTTGTTCTAGAACTCCACCCATCAGACATGATTGTGCAACCATACTGAGGCCATTTTACCTTGATCGANGTTTTTGAAATATTTGTGGTATCAATTGATGTATGGTAAATCATATTACGGTCACAATAAATCATGAAATTGATAATGGATTTCTTTGTTCTAGAACTCCACCCATCAGACATGATTGTGCAACCATACTGAGGCCATTTTACCTTCATCGAAGATATGTACACATCAAGCTCTTGAACCTCCTCCTCCAAATAAGAACTACCAATTTGATATCCTGTGGGACCCTTTATTCTTGGGCCTANAACCTCCTCCTCCAAATAAGAACTACCAATTTGATATCCTGTGGGACCCTTTATACCTGGGCCTGCATCCGCAATAGTGTCAATCATTGACTGATAGTAAGGCCCACTATCAGCTGCATTGAATGGTATGGCATTGAAGAGGAAGAACTTTGAAATAGCTTTTCCCACTTTTTTCAGGTTCGCACCTGAGAATATGCCTTTTACTGACTTTTGTTTCGACGGGAACATGTACGGATCAAGGCCACTTACAGGCATGCTTGCACCTTCTTTTGTNGTATGGCATTGAAGAGGAAGAACTTTGAAATAGCTTTTCCCACTTTTTTCAGGTTCGCACCTGAGAATATGCCTTTTACTGACTTTTGTTTCGACGGGAACATGTACGGATCAAGGCCACTTATAGGCATGCTTGCACCTTCTTTTGTGCTATAGCTACGTGGTGGTTCGCGCTTGATTCCTGAGCTTGATGGTTGTGATGATCGACCGCTTGCATTTGATACAGAGTGCCTATGACCCTCTTCCTCCATCCAAGCCATTTGACGACTTTCCTTCATTGCATGCTTTAACTGTCTTCTTTCAAAATCACCATCTTCAATTTGATTCTCACCATCATCATCATCGTCGTCATCCAGGTTGTAACAATCTTCATCTCGTAATGATTGCATAATTCGTTCTTTTTTTTTTTTTTTTATAGAAGCCCTTTCTTTACTACAATCACTTAGATGTTGTCTCAAGAATTGTGACACTTCTTTTGGTACACGTGGACATCCTTCCACCTAGCTGGATACATGTGCAATATGCTGCTTCATTCGAGTAATGCCACCATGAACTATTTTACCACAATAATTGCACTTTGTAATTCGTCGATCACTACCAACAGGTGTTGCGTGTTCCCAACCAATGTCGTGTTTTTTAGGAGCCATTCTACAAATGTCATAAATTCTAAATAATTAAACAAGTAACATGCAATTGATTGAAATAGTTTAAATATAAAAAAAATTGTAATTGTAACATTTAATTTTATATAATTAGAAATAGAACATATATTTTTTATAAATAAAAAAAAGGAAATTATATCCACTCATTTATTATTATAAAATATTGATGTATCTAATTATTACATTAAAGTTATAATTTTTTTGATCATTAAAATACAATAATTTTAATATTTATGCAATAAATAAGTAATTTAACTATGACAATAATGTAAAAAACCATGTTTGTCTTGGAGGAGTCGAACCACTGTCCTGCACATGACAATTTGCATCACCCAATTGAGCTACTATTCTTATGTTACTTTTATGGCAAATATAAATATATAAATATTTGGTCAAAAAAAAAAAGCTACTATTTTTATGTTACTTTTAAGGCAAATATAAATATACAAATATTCGGTCAAAAAAAAAAAAGGCAACAGTGTGTTGGGGTCTTGGAGGAGTTGAACCAATGACCAACAACATTACAATGTGCAAGTCCACCCAATTGAGCTACTATGTCTATGTTATGTTAAGACAAATATAAATATACAAACACTTAGTAAAAAAAAAAAACTAGACTACATGTTGCAGCAAGGAATCGAACCAGGGACCTTGCAGCTCAATTTGAAACACCACCCATTTGAACTACTATTTTTATGTTACTTTTAAGGCAAATATAAATATATAAATATTCGGTCAAAAAAAAAAAAACTAGACTACATGTTGGAGCAGGGAATCGAACTAGGGACCTTACAGCTCAATTTGCAATACCACCCAATTGAGCTACTACTTTTATGTTACTTTTAAGGAAAATATAAATATATAAACATTCCGTAAAAAAAAAAAATCAGTTTTTTTCCTACCTTTTTTAGGTTCTTCGTTTTTCTCACTTCCCAGAGTCGCACGGTAGTGCAGACAGAGAGATGTAGTGCAGTTCCTCGCCGATATAGACCGAAGAAAATCGTCTCAACAAAGAATCGAAGAAGATCCTTTCAACAAAGAGTTGAACAAGAATAACAAAGAATCAAACAAGATCGACACACAAGACCAGATGAAGAAGATGCTTCAGGGTTTGATTTACAGGTATGGTAGTAATCTTGGTTTTTTTATAGGGGTTTGCTGCCTTAGGGTTCATGTGATTTTTGCAATTTTCACATGGGTGTCGAGTCTTTCAACGGGTAGTCTGGTAGTAGGTCTGCTTTATTTACCATCCCCCTTTTTTTTTTTTGGATTTTTGTTCATTTTTCAGAAAAATGAAGGAGTGTTGATAATCTTTTGTAGAGGTGTGGGTCAAATTTTGGGATTTTTCTACTGTCGTGTTCGACTCGGAAGGATTCCGAATCGCGTCGCCTGAGTTGAATCGAGTTTCCACCGACACCTTTGATTTCGGCCGAGACGTCCGAGATATCGCCGATACAAGTTAAATTCATCAATCTTTCGATTCGTGTACCGTTATCGTATCGTCAATGGCCGAGTCGGATACGACTCGGCCGAGTCGTATCGGACTCGGCCGATACTTTGAACCCTGGCAGAAACTCTACCAGGTTATGGAGATGGTGATCATCCCTTGAGTGGCAGTTGTTCTGGAATAGACTTATTAATTTAAGAAGACAACCTAAACGCCTGAAATATTGATTATATGTTAATTTTATGTTTAGTCACACGCTTTTCTTACTGGCCATATATCTCTGATTTGTAATGACTTATTTGCGTGCTCAATATTCGGTTCTCTTTTCTACAGGGAAGCAGAAATGATGTGGCTCCAGCATTAAGATCACTTTGTATGGAAGATTTCATTCAGTCAAAAGCGAAGGTAAATTTTATTCACTACTTTCAAAGCTTGTGATGTGGGAACAAAAGTCAACACTTTTGAGAGCCAAACATAGTTATCTATTTATTGTCAAACACTATTATCAACAAGTATATAGAGATCAGGATTCCATATGGTATAGCAATTCGGAGTATCAAAGTGCTAAAATACCATGAGAAAGATCACTACTTGGCCTCTAGGTTATCAAGTGTATGTGGCAAAGTGGATCTATGGCAAAATATATGCTTTATGAGGCAATTTTTTTGGCTAACTTCAATTAAGTCAGTATTGAACAATTTGTTGTTGGGTAGGATGACAAAGTTGCATGATTGTGCTTTGCTAGAGCACTTCTATGTAGTGTCTCTCGTACAATTTGTTGGCCTGTGAAATTTTCCTCTTGTCTCACTGGTAGGAGGTATGTTACCTACCAGTAGATGCCTACAACTTTAAGCATGTTTAGACAACCATGCAGTGAATGTCAGATGATCTTGCCCACTTAGAATCAAAACTAACTTATTCATAAATATTTAATCATTGCCATGTGGATATTGCAAGTGCTTATGTACATAAGTGTCTTGGAAAATATCATTTTTCAGAAAAGGAGGAAAAAAGGGGAGGGGGAGGAATTTATCCGTCACGTGCGGCGTGAGTGGATTGAAGCAAATTTGTGAACTTGAATGCAGCTGTAACTACAAAATTTGTGTGCCCATTTATTATGTAAAGTTTTTGATTTTGACAATAGAGAATTGGATCTTACTACAGCCTTGTGGATCCTTTGCCTCATGAGCCACTGGGTTGTTAGTTGTTACAATGCTGCTTGATATTTTTCTGCTGCCACTTTTTGCAATGAATGACAATTGTTAGGCTTTTACACGGTTTACCACTCCCAGACCCCATTAATGAGGCCAAAACTGGATGTTTTCAATTGTTGTTTAACAATGGTCATGGAGATGAACATAGAACGTAGTCTAGTAGAATATGAAATGAAGCATAAGTGGCTATGATATCAAAGAACTGAAGTTGAAGGCGGCTAAACACGTGAATAATGGAAAGATATCAAAGTATAAGTGGCTAGAGACTCTACATACTTGCACATAATGGAAAGTCTATAAGAAGGGTTGCTAGTAACTAAACACGTGAATATAGTTACGGTGTCATATCTGCCTTATTTGTTATTGCATTTCTATTTGGGACAGCACAAGTAGTGGTCTATCAAAACAAAATTTTGATTTTCTACTCCCCGAAATATGGAAACACACTGATTTCGAATAGAAAGAGGTGGCCTTCTATAGTGTGGTCTCCATTCATCGAGGGTGCTAAGAAGAGTAGTCAGACTACAGTTCTGACATTGTCATTGTTAGTGCAAAGCGGTTGTCCTTTTTGCACATGTATGCTGATGGTAGATAGGATCACTTTAACTTTATGGTTGTAATTTCAAGTTTTTACACTGGCAAAATTATTTATATTTACGCAAAAGAACGTGGTGTACCCTGCATGCATGGTTTATGGGTTATTGTGTGACATCGGGAGTGAGTCATAGATACGAGTCCAAAAGGTATGTGGTTTGGAAGATTCTTCATTATCAAGAAGTACCAGTATTTAGGCAAACAAGATGGCTGTAAGTACCAATGCACGATGCAGAGATAATCGTTGTTGGATCGTGTCTAGATAATGAGGGCCGCTAATTTTGGCAGATTCTGATACCCATACATCATGTTACCATCCCCATGCAAACTAGGTGTTGTGGTATATTGACTCTGCTTACAAGGGTATAAATAGAGTTAAGAGTAACGATGCTTTGGATTCTATGACTGGCCATCTCACTTGCCTTTCTCCCTAGACATATATGCAACTTGATCTTTTCAGAAATTCTGCAGGTGTATTTTTCATAAGCTGGACTGGTTTGCCTGAAAGTCAAAATTATTGGTGTTAAACTAATGGGGTGCGTTGGATGGGTTATGTTTCCTATCCAATCCAAACCATTGTTTGGCAAGGAACAATTCAATCACTCCTACTACAATCAACAACGCCGGAGTAAGGTGGAGATTGCCGGAGGTTGTGTGTCCTCTTCGATAATAAAGCGAGAGAGAGGTGAGGGGGGATTGATGGCTTATCTCATCTTCTTGGTTGCCTATGTGCACCAGCCACAATGACGTTGGACTGAAAATCAACACAAAAACAACAATGAGTGAGAATAGAAAAGGTCACTTGATTACCTTGCAAGTGCTGGCGAATGAATACGACCAATAAGAGCAAAATCGAAGAACATGTTCAATCCACCTCGCAACCTGTGGTATATTATACCTTTGGTATGTTAAATCCCTATTACTCCCACTCGCACCATCCCCATCACCCGTATCAGTCGCCACCATCGCCGGTAAACCAGAACCCCTCACTCTATCCCCATCTCCACTTCCATTACCATCTTCCACCGACACCGGTCACACCGCCCCTCCGATATGCCGCACAGTCTCATCATTACCAAGTGACAGGAGAAAGAGTGGCAAATATGTCTATTGGGGAGTAACCCATTGACTGGGTGTGTAACCCATGGGGGGAGTGGGTTAATTATAACTGGTGTAGGGGTTTTATAAACTACTGTAGCATCCGGGTCAAGGTTTGACCCAAGATTGTTATCCTACCTCAAAAGATGCTTCCCAAACAAAGAATAAATGGGACCCACTAATTTATTTACCAATCCTTATGGTGTTAACCCCTTTTTTCCCATTACCCAAACACACCCATGATAGATAACAATACTTAAGTGGCATGCCATTGATGAGTGCAACATATTACTAAGATCCATGGAGATTGACAGGATGTGGATTTTTTGTATACTCACTTTTAAAGCCCCAAACAGTTATGTTACATGGCAAAT